TGTATGATCGTTGCGTCGAAAGTGTTGAGTTGACAGGCGGACCGGTATTGGTTCAGATAAATAAGAGAAACGAGAAGTCATCGCTGCCCTGCCTAAAATTGATGAGTAGATTAGTTCAGGATCAGATAAGATGGTTACCGAGAGTTAAAACCCCGTGACTTGGCTTCCGTTCTTGTCAGATTGCTTGTTAACAAATTATGTGTCCAAAGAACATCATTGTTGCCGGGAGATATGAAGAACGAGTCTAGCTCAAGTCAAGATCGATTATCTAGGTCTTAGTACGCGACGAAACGGGGCCAGCCTGTCGGATCACGGGAATTGCCGCTGCCGCGCCTACAGTTTAGCTGTCCCTTTCGGTCTTTAGCTCGACTTTCATGACTCAGCACTCTCAAAGCTGGAACTGTTTCATGAGCGGATGGTTATATCTTGATTTGTGCTCAAAAACTGATTACTACTTTTCTTCTCAGCTCGGGGCATTTTCAAGGCATTTTGATACTGATAGTACTGGAGGTGGGGTCGACGAGTACGTGATTTATCTTCCAAAACAGATATTGATCTTCTGAAACTCATCAGAGCATTTGATGACCCGACGTTGATCCATGAATATGGATCTGGCTCCCTCCCCCTGAAGCAAATCTATTTGCTGTGAATTGTCAGAGTCGAGGTGATACAAAACTATAAGCTAATTCTCCTGGTCTGTCCGTTGTTTTGACGACGCCATCGTTTCGTGCTAGTATCACAAGAGTTAAATCACATTTTCCTCAGCTCAATAAGCTAGACTATGTCTATACTGACATATTCAATGCGCAGGTTTAGATTAACCATGCACTGAACTGAGGTGATGATAAGGCGACAAAAGTATGTACCACCTTGAAGTTACAAGAACTACCATCTGACGATTATATTTCCTGCAATATTTCGCTTCTTGGACTAGCAGTATCATCCAGCCTACAGAAAAGAAACATGCAAGACAACGCTTCGTTATCGTTATAGCTGGCTTCCTCGAGAGAAGATCAAGTATCAATTTACCGAATATATACAAGTTCGACCTACTTATTCCTATTTATTCTCTTCCGCTAGTAAACACGGGACGACCACTATTCAATGGGTGGCGCAACATGTGAAGAAACCCACCGGGGTGTTACATCGACCGAGGCTTAGAGTATGAACTTACCGCGGGATTCTCATCAGTCTGGTCAGAATAACACTACAGATTGTCATCCATATCTTATCCTGGGTCCGCAGAGGATACATGGCTTCATCAGGATTGGATGCTGTGTGCGCCAAGGATGTCTCTGTTCTTCCCCAATAGGTCAGCCTGTCATGCGAGCTTTGGCGCCCATCAATCGACCACGGAAAAAGCTCTAAGTTTGAGTCCAGGCTAGGTTCAGCTTGAATTTCCAGTCTTGAATGAAAACCCTGACAGCATTTGATAGTAGGTAGTGACAATCAAACAAGAACATTGCGAGATTTTACAACAATTTCCAGACCCTCCAGCCTTTCTATATCATTTTGGTCATCCATCACGACCACCGACACTTTCTCAAATCTGAAATCTGCTAGTCGCCGTCCAACAGCCCAATATTGCCGCTGTGTTTGGATCGGATTCTAACCATGCACGAGTGCCAAGGAATGTGTACGTGTCTGTGGGTATCGGGATTCGATGGGTAGCGCGAATTGCGAATGTGTGTGGCATCCCGTCTGCACTTTCAACAACCAACTCTCCACATCGATGGGTTCCTTCTTCCAATTCCACATCTAACCCATGAACATGCCCGTTTTCGATACAAAGGCATTCAAGCGAGTCCTCATCTGCCTCATCGTCATGTTCAACATGCCCAATATGGAAGGTATCTTCTGGCAGAGACTCCGTCATGACCTGCTCCCACGTCGGTCTCCACTTCTTGCATCCGAGTCCTCCTCCAGGATATAAGAGGAGGAAGGACACCCGCATCCCAGAGATCCATTGAATTAACTAGCTCTGTCCATGCATCCTCGAGAGACTGGCTCTCATGGTATGCGGGTATCTTGTCAGGCATCAGAGGGAATGCCAGTCCTGCAATTCTGTCCACCGGATGGGTTGACACACGTTTCCGCATGTCTTCCAGGCGACCAAATAAATGCCAAGAACGTTTATCTGGCCCTAGCTGCTTGTGAAACATTGTCAGCAGCTCCGTCCCATAGTTTCCATAGTGGTCTATTGGCTTTGCATGCATTGGCCTATCAGGCATATTTCCTGCGATGATCCTGTACCAGCCAACTTCCTGTAGTGTCCACGCACGTCTAAACCAAGACCTCTCGCTGTCCAGATCAACCTCCTTCACATTCAAAGGCAGCCCTAGCCCACTGAGGTAGATTACCACCTCTGCACCAAAGTACACCTGCCCAATTGTGGGTACGTCGAGCTTCCACTCCTCCGCGCGGAGATCCTCCTTCGGTCCCCCTTTCTGTCTCAAACAGAGGAACGTCCAGCCATATGTACTCCGCTCCCAGATTCAGCATCTCGATCCGGATGAGATCAAGACTGGCACCGTGCGGAATGGGCACGGGCCACTCCTTCCCATTGATAGATGTCCATACATCCGCCCTATCTTTCTCATCCACCCATGCATGTGATATTGGCCGTGGAGATAAAGTATCGCCAGCCCACCATGGCACCACTCGATTGCTGTACAGGTCCCAGAGACGTCGAGGTTGCAAATTTGGGTTGACTATCCAATTACCCGCCATTGCCCTCAGTCTCGTCTCCATGTCGTCCTCTTGACGTCTGTAGAGTTCATCTCGGATATTATTCCAGTCGCTAGTGTACCACAACCGGCGAAGGCAGGCCATATGCAGTCCCAAAGTCATCGTTCTTTTCAACGCAGTCTTCGAGAATGGAGAGAAGAGACGGGTTATCGAGGGTATATGACGTTCTAAGGGTCGCGTTCAGTCCATCTAATACCCCTTGAACGCCGAGAGTAATACAGGGAGTGTCGGCGAGGGAGGACGGTATAACGGGAGCTCGACCAATGTAGGACCGTTGCAATGAAACCTTTATGGACGACTCCGCTTGGCCGCTCTCTGTGGAGGCTGAGATTTTGACCTCAGGAAACACGATGCCCTGGAAACATGTCATCGAGTTGCCCTTGCGTACTCGCTGACTGACATACCTTTGCTGGCCAACGTTGAGGACGATACACATGAGACGTCGCGTCAGAATGAATTGAAGTAGCATCAGAATCCTCAGAACGACTCTGGGAATCTGGTGGCGACGATTTCGAAGGTAGTTCTGGCAGCGAGTAAGATGGTGAAGCAGGTCTCGCCTCCGGGATGGGTTCGCCAGTCATTGTAGTAGAATTACTGTGAGTCAGGTCACCGAGTGACCTCTTTTTCAAGTCGTCACACAGCGGGCCACTTTGCACTGACGTGGAGGCTCTCCGCGGGGCGAATGAATAGACAACAATTGCCAAGCAACTGCGGGAGACGGCGACAGCATTCTTCCTAGCTCGGATCACGATTAAATACCTCCCCGTCTTGTGGGTCTGAAGATCAATCCACCTGCTTTGTATTCTTGTACAGCCATAAATGACAATCCATTCCCAGACCAAAAGTCTCGAAATCTGCGGTTCGAGTCAACCACTGTTGTCTCTCCTGCTGCACTTCCAGCACTACCTTCAAAAGATATCAACGATTTGATGTACACGACTCCATGTGAGATATCGGGCTTCTTGTAGCACCAAGAGTCATTTGTCGTTGGGTTTCTCGTAGGGACTCACTTACGTGTTTCCTTATTCCCATAGGTATTTCATAGCATATAATACTATAAATTTCGTAGTTAGTACTCATGCCGCTTTGCTAAAGATTAAAACAATTTTCCCGCTTACTTCGTTCGAGTTCAGCCCTTCGGTTCTAATTGCACATGACACCATTCAAATTACGCCTCTCACGGATAGAAATCTGAGAATCATCTGTTCATGTGGCGTTGGGACCGCTTTCAATAGTGAATAGACTCACGAAAAGATTAGAAATAACTTACTATTGAATGTTATGTGCTCTCCGGTTTGTTGAATCCATGAACAGCGGACTTGGACCTGCATTCGTCCACGAATCAAGTTCGCATATTAACGTCCTTGCAGCAAGTTGATGCATGCATTCATTGATAGGCGCTGAATTGTATTGACGCAGACCTGCATATAATTCAAACGTACGAATACTATACCCGTAGCATCCATTACTCGGGACCTGCTAAAAAGATGAGTATCATCACGGTGACCTGGAACTGCCGGTATACCTCCCAGCGCCAAACCGTTAGCAGAGTTATGCGCCCAAAAATAGTCGGAAAATATGATGGGAAGTTCTTTGTGGTGGTCCTCGACTCAGAATCGTCGTTAAGGTTGGACATATCTATCGATGTCCTTGTGAATACCTTGACTTTCTTCGTTGAACATGAATAGTGAGAATCCTTCGTTGTGTACTTGCCAAACCCGATTTGAAAACTTTCCATCTCTTAGAAGCCGCTCGAGCTTGTTCGGGAGCATATAAGAATATCGTTCTTCGATTAGACGTGTACCGTTTTATCAGCACCCACTACCTACGCCGACTCTGAATAGCGCGAAGCCACCGCATATCATATATGTTAGAGCGGGAGGAAGAACGTCCGATGAAGGAGGATCAGTGAACGGTTACGAACAAGAATCCTGAAGGTTGGATGCGTGCACTTTGGACCGCAGTAAGAGAGATACCAGTTTCGTAGCGACAGAAATCGAAGATATTTGTGAGTACTGCTCATGGATAAATCTGCTGAACAATGCAGTACGTTGTTCGCCAGAATAGAGAGCTTGATGCTTCAATGTGCCGAGTCCACCGTCTTGGTCCTCCCGTACTCCTGTGTTTTCTCACTAACAACTACAAGTGGCGTCCAGCCACCGAGTAGCAAAAGAGCGGGTCGGCCCGATACCGTTTTCATTCGCATAGCAGATGGCGGGTATCACCAAACACGGAGCGAAACCACGAATTAATGGTCCATGGCTGAGTTGGTTACAGCGTCCGACTATTAATGTCGAGTTCAAGGTGATCGGAAGGTCGAGCGTTCGAGCACATCTGGGGCAGATAAGATGGAACTATCCTTTTAAGTGACAAGTTTCGAATCTCGATTCACTTCCGTTCAAGAAATATGTTACTCTTTTAAAAACCATTTTATCACTGATTATCAGATTGAGTGTCGTATGCAGCTTTATGTATTCTTGTGTTCGCGTGCTTCAAGGTGGTATTTTGACATCGTTTCGCAATACATTGCGTCTAGGTTCACATGGATGGTCAGCAGTGGCGCGCGGTGCTCAATGCGCGTGACAAATATTGACAATGTGTAGTACAGTGCAACAAGTTATCCGAGAGCCAGGTTACCCGGTCATTCAGGGCAGTAATGGGGACCTAGGGCTTTGTTCGCAAAGCTACTACCGAATTTGTTTCTACAGCTCGAGTTTCAGAGCCGAGAAATACATCCTATGAGGACACAGTAGAAGTCAAGAGTAAATTTTAGAATTAAATTTAATACAATTCCTAGTGTCCGCGCAATTTGATGCCCAAATTGCTGAAACAAGGACTTAGGAGTGAAGCGTCGCGAAGACGCGCCTGTGGCGTGGGAACGAACCAGACTCTTTCCATTTTAGTCGACTTCAACAATACTGTTTTGACCATCACTACGATACTTCATACCGCGACATAATGAAGACATCCCCCCACTGACCTCTCAGGCAATTTGCATCTTTTTGTCCTCCTGCGTATTGATTTGGTTCGCAGTCATTCAAATCCAAGACCAACTAGGCGAAAGTTGACGCCGACGAGTGATATTGATCTATGTAATAGTCGACCAGCGACAAGTCACATTTCTCGCCGTAGGGAAGCTAGTAATCCCCCTTCTGGAAGTCCTACCCCATCGTCTCGGCCAATAGAATGCAAATACCTACCAACCAGAATGTCTCCTCGTAGGCTTCCCGTTTAGTCGCTTATACTTTTCATCGATTGTAATTGCTCCTTCTCAGAAGCCATACGGAATGCGTGAACACTAGTTGCCTTCGATATACTTGTTCTAAGACAGCTATAATCCAGTAATCACCTGTACTGCTGGCTGTTCCCCCTTCGAATCTGTCATGCATGGTTGTCGCTGACCAGATAGTAGAGAGTGACACCCTCGTTTCTTGAGTGTGTCGAATCAGGCACAGTCTCCTCCGTGGCCATCACGGAACCCGGATTCATGGTCCCTGGACCCAGCGATGGACAAAGATAGGCATGCATTTTTCTCGGCCAGGTTCGCGAAGCTGAGCCGCGCGATCGCGAGCGTCATCCCTTTGATCCCTACTTCGCTGCCGCCAGTCTCATTCGCCCTCCTCCACTGTCACAGCGAATGACTACTGCTCCTGCGGTTTATTGACGACTAACTACAATTCAACATCATGCGAGAACTCGTTGATCCACATACTTCGTCCTTTTCCGCTGCAGTAGGTGAGTCGCTTTCTCTCGGAGGCCAACATTTCCCGGCAGTTCCTGACCCTCGAACGTAGCCGCACTTTGCACGACGTTTTACAAAGATCAACTTCCCCTTGTTTTTGTTCGTGACATCGTTTTAAAGAAGTTCAAGCTTCTGCCGTGGGCCGCATATCAGAGACTAGCCGATCTGCCCTGCACTTGCTGACCGGCGATGATAGCATCAGCCTAATGGATGCTGCGCGGGAATTTTTGCTTCACGAAGTAGGTCAGCCGGGCGAAGTAAAGGTACTTTACAGTCTTTCCCAGCCTTGCCTTCGGTGATGGATTTGCAGGGTCTTATGTCATTACTTCCAGTACCTCTGGTGGGTAACCTTGATACCCTTATTGGAGCGCTCACGAATGATTCCTTGATCATCATTACGAAGGCGTTAGTTTACCCATAGGATGACACCGCGTCCAGGGGGGTGGCGGTAGAGACCTCAAGCCGCGCCGCGAGGTGCAATGTTTACCCGCCATATCCATACGTTCATTGGATACACGAAAGCGATTCATGGGCCAGAAGGACATCGCTATGCACTGACTTCCTGCTTCATCATGTGCCGCCCACGGACATCCCCACTCCTTCATAACGCTTTCATTATGTTCCGTAAACGCAACCGTCGCTTAAAAAACCTTCATTTTCCCGTGACGACACTAGCATTCCAAATTCCAACTTCGTTGAGTTCAGACCCCCCTGTGTCGCGCATCTCGGCAAAGCGGTTTCGTCATCGTTAGATGGCACACTACCCCTTGGGCCCGCCGAAAAGCAAGCGCAACAGCTGCCTTATCATCGGGAATCATTCCAACTCCACAAGGGTATTCGCTCGCCGTGCCAAGGCCAGGCCTCATCGCAGTTTGAAATTGAGACTCCGAAGGTGGCCGACGCGCTCACCGTCATAATCAACACATGCCCTCTTCAGCCTACCCGCTCTTCACCACTCTATGCCCGTCCATACCGGTTTGCACCAGTGAACGTGAGCCATACTTATGAATGCACTGCTGGTTATCGAAATGAACGGACCTTCGGAGTCTCTTCCCCGAGCATCCGTCAATTCACCGAATTTCCGATTTTTTTTCACGTCGAGCACGTGTATTCATATGGCACAATTGGATGAGAGGGATGAAGTAGCTTGGGACTGCGGTACCGGGTCGCTTAGCGATTCAAAATTGGAAGTCAAAGACTTCGAAATGAGGGGGTGGCGGATCGGGTGCCTGTCGTCGAAGCGTAATCTTCAGTTCTTCTTAACTCCATTTCCGCTCCCTCCGTTTACGGGCTCTTCCTAGAAACGGTTTTCCTCTCGGCTGGTGTCAAATCGGAATTCAATTTCTGACAATTGAAAACATTGACACGATGCTCGCTCTCCTATACGAGAAAATACCTTCTATCACAGTTCAAGAGCGCGTAACCGGCACACAACGCAAACGTGTGGGAACGGGAAAGAACGGTTCTATTACGGAGGATTGTTTATTTGTATAGTTTATCATGCCTTCTACAGTTCATGCAGTGTGGGCGCTCCAGTCCTCTGATGGTCACATTTTCACATTTCGATGACCTCACCCGGTATCTAGCTCAGGGCTCGTCTCGAAACACGAGGGTTTCTCCTTCGGTCAAAATTTCGCGCCCTGGACAATGAGATGCAAGAACCGAGTTGTTATTTTTACTTGTTGGCTACTGCGCGGTTCGGGTGAGAATGCTTTAAATTCCTTCGCTGACGACTGACAAGAGCTTGTTCCAGTACCCCCATGTTACTCTCATCCCTCCTTATACTCCCCTCGCTCGTTTATACTACGCTTGCTCAGCAGAGCAATACAAATCCTACCGTTGGTGGTAACCAAGATGACGGCTGGGAGAGCTTTCCAAAAGTCGTCGATGCAGACAGGCATACCAAATGGGTCGTCGATGCAGACCTCGGTGCCTACATGGTGCGCATGTTTTCTCCTTCAATCGATAAGCGGCTCATTCTCTGTGTAGCCTGTCTACCAATCTTCGGGTCTGAATGCGACAGAAGTCACAAGAGCAGTCATTGTTCTTCACGGAAAGGTGGGCCATTCTAATTCGGTCTCCGTATTTACTCAACCATCGACGCTGTCAAAAGCCCCGCGACTGCTGGTATTGTGCGCATCATTCATTGTTTACTTCATTTGCATGTGGCGCTCATGATGGCCGCTAGATTGGAATGCGATGAATAACGCACTTTATAATGCCACGTATGATGACCCTAGCATTGTGCGCGAGCACATATCCATCTTGGGACCATGCTTCTTCGACGAAGATGACCTAACCGCAGGCGCAGCCAGAGACGGTCAGCTCCTTTGGGGACAGACGACATGGATGAGTGGGCACGTGAATGTTGCCCCCGACTCTATATCTGGCTATAGCAGTTTCGATGTACTCGACTCGCTTATTGCGTATTATATGGACAAGACGGTCTATCCGAATCTAAAGGTAATCATTTCCTCCCATTTCAACGGCACCTTTCTTACTCATTGATATAGGTCGTCGTCGTTGGAGGACATTCAGCTGGTGCCCAGATGGCCCAGCGTTATGCAGCCCTGCGACTCACCACCGAAAACGATGATCGGTTGCATTTCTGGATCGGTAAGTTCTCCTGATATCATGTGCGGTGATGTTACCTCATTTTTCAATACATCTAGCGAATCCCGGATCTCTATTATGGCTAACGTCAGACCGTCCGGTCTCGGTCGACGACTGCGATGGTATAGACGAATACAAGTATGGGCTGGCGTCTGGTTTCCCCGCGTACGCAACTGCGAGTGCACGTACACTGGGAAGGTCTGGAATTGTTGAGAAATACAATGGGCGCAATATGAATTACGATTGGGGACTGGTGAGTGATAAAGATCTTTTTCTCAGCCTAGTTACCCACCTCTCGTCACAGACCGATTACGCCAACGGAGACCACAGATGTCAGGCAGCCGTGAGTGTTCCCGTTTCAACAGCTAGAATACTTGACCGACCATTCGGTGTTTCTCAGGCTCAAGGGGAGGACCATATTACTAGAGGAAAGAATTTCGTCCAGATGTTAGAAGACATTGGTGGCATCCCCAATCTTACGACCATCGATTGGGCCCCAAACATTGGTCATTCTAACGAGGGAATGATGACGAGCGAGGGCGGTATTGATAAAGTGAGTTCAATTTCATTTCCTAGGTAGCCAAGTAACTCAAGGTTGGATAGTTATTCCGATATGTTTCAAACAGCACAAGCACTTAGGTTGGGACGTTGGGATACGGCATTCCAAGTTTATGGTTGATATATTCAGATTTTTATGGACTCGCATATATATCCACCGTCTTTTGTAGACGTCTTTTCATATTCTTAAATGATGGCAATTTCAACAATAAGCAGGCGAACATTTGGTTGCTATGCGCAGTCAGCTCAGCAAATCATGATGCGTCCTCATATGAAATCGCGTGGGATACAGATGAGAATCTACTGAGATTTCCCGGATCTGATGCGAAATCATCGCATTGTGGTACAAGATCTAGGCTGCTCTGTGGACCGGCGTTCCATTAATTTCTCCGGCATTCTATCGAGGCTTCGGTATCTATTCTATCATAAA